GTGTTTGACTCTGTTTAATCACTGGACATGACTGTCACTGATAGGTGACCAAAATCTACAATCTGGGCTAGAAAGAAATCAACCCCAGCCTCACTTCTTCATACCATTCTGTGTGTTTCTCTTACAAGCATTGGTGGTGCTGTTGCACTTCTCCCAAATAATCCACCTTAAGACATTTTCTTAACAGCAAGTAATATGATGTCAACGTCGAAAGTGATACCTTATATTGATGTCTCTTTAACCTTGAAAGACAGTTGCGCTTAGCCCTGCTAGTACATTTATACCAGTCGACCCTGGACCATTCTGATAATATAGTATTAAAGAATGAAATAGGGCAAGAAGATCTAAATTTAGGTTGATGCTTCTCTGGCTTTTAAATCAGGCAGGTGGTGAATTGAATCAAAGTAGAACTCCCGACTGTACTGAGCCATCAAACACATCAAAAGTCGAGTTGCAAGTCGGTAAGAGAAACTTCTTAAAGAACTCAGCTGGGAGGCTACCCAGCCCTGGAGCCTTGCCGGTTAGCATTGATTTAATTACTTCTAAGACTTCATCAACCAGAAAACTTCCAGATCTGTCGCTCAATAGCTGATATTGTATGTTTTTATATTTTTGTCATCTTTGGGTTATCCAGTTGCGCCTCTGAGTTCTAAGCAGAAAGTGGAAAAGTGCTGTTTATTCCTAACCCGGAACAACACTGTAGTAATTACACACAGGGCTGGCCAACTCATGGAGGTAAATGGCCAGAAATGTTTAAATATTTTATAGGAAATATAACAGAGGGGCACAACATGATTCGGATGTCTCTTAAAAGAATATCCTGTTCACAAATTGTCCTGGTATTTAACAATACAGTACTTTTATAATCACATAAGGCTAACTGAAGCTAGCTTTGTTAACCTGTGCACAATCCACACTAGCTGACCTGGCTGTCAGATGTCAAAAGAAAGCAATATTCTTCACATTAGATTTTATCAGCCTCATCGGCAACCTCGTGTTAAGGAAGAAAAAAAAGAAAAGCCTACTAAAGGTAATACATTTTTTTTTTACGTATGCATTGTTGTTTGGCTTGTTTCTTGTAGCTTTGTGTATCTTTAATGGAGCTACATGACCAGTTGTTATGTATGTTGTAGCCCATCTGCCTCAAGGATCAACATGTTGTGGATTCTGAGATGCTTTTCTGCTCACCACAGCGGTAAAGAGTGGTTATTTGAGTTGCGGTAGCCTACTTCCTGTCAGCTTGAAACAATCCAGCCATTCTCCTCTGACCTCTCTCATCAACAAGGCGTTCCCACCCACAGAACTGCTGCTCACTGGATGTTTGTCTTTCGCCCCTTTTGTGTAAACTCTACAGACTGTTGTGTGTGAAAAACCCAGGAGCTCAAGTTTCTGAAATAATCAAACCAACCTGTCTGGCACTAATGCTATGTTCAAAGTCACTGAGATCACAAAAAGTCACATTTTTTTTCCATTCTGATGTTTGATGTGAACATTGAAGTGAAGTAAAGCTCTTGACATGTATCTGCACGATTTTATGTATTACACTGCCGCCACATAATTGGCTGACTGGACGACTGCATTAATGAGCATTAATTAAAGGGTACATATGTTCCTAATGAAGTGGCCAGTGAGTGAGTGTGTTTATGTGCGTGTGTGCTTTGTGTGCTCCATGTATAGCATTATGGTTGCGTCACTCAGCACACACATCATTATATTTTTCCATTTCACCTGGCAGTATCATGCTCTGACTTTGACTTATTATTTTCCCTCTCTTCTCTGGTCTGTCTGGTAATATGGTAGATAGCATATGTGTGTGTTTTGTGGCCTATGAGCCCCTGATCGCCTTAATCCAAACTGAGTCTGTAAATTTATCTGACTTTAGGCAAAGGCACACAGGAATAATTTTGGTCTATTTCAAGTAATTTATAATATATACGTTTGCAACTGACTGCCAATTTGCATTTAAAACACAGCAGATGATTCAGCTACTGATTACACATTTCAGAGTTTCCCATAAATTTATGAGACTCTATTGCCTGTGATACATCGGCACAGGATCCCAGAGGCACAGAGAGTTTAGCTTTCACAAAGAGTGAAGCGTGAGCCTGGAAATCTGACAGAAATCTAGTTTTAAACCTACTCAGACATGGCTAGAATTCACAACAGGAGACAGTTGCTTTCAGAGAGGGGTGCAATAATTTGCCTACAAAAAGAACAAAAATAACGAAAAAGTACAAATCGCTGGAGCATAAAAAGAGCATTAAAAGAGAAGATTTCCAAGTGTCAAGATATTCACATTTATTGATGAAAGACAAAGTGTGAAATATTTTGTAATTACACCTTTCAAGTCTCTACCAACAAAACTGGAAAAAAAGCCTTTCTAAATTTGAGACATAAACACTAATCAGCATTACTGACCATTTATCAGAAATGATTTTAAAACATAATGCCAGGCTTTGTAATAAAACAGCTGCTCTTCCCATTTTAAAAGAACAATCTAAATGGAAATCGTGCTATGTTTTGCTTAAGTTTTGCTTATCACCTACTGATGGATGACAAATTAAAGGAAAAATAAATGAATAAATGAGCAGAAGAACACAGAGTGCAGATGCTTCACGACAGGCATATGGCATGACAGAATTAAACAATTAACATCCTACCATGCTCTGTGGTATGTATAAAAATGTCGAACTGAGCCAGCTGACCTCTATTTTAGCTCAAAATGGCAAGAGAAAAAGATCTAAGTGACTTTGAATTAGGGTTGATTATTGGGGTGTGGATAGCAGGAGCTTGGCTTTGTATAAATAGGAACAGCGACTAATGTGACATCTGCATTTAGATCTATGGGAAAAGCATTAGGAAATAAGGATGGAAATGGTGGTTGAAAGCCTATATATTAGAAGCAGATATTCAATGATTGTGATGCTTTAGTTGATTGTGCATTAGTATGATATGTAAGGAAAAACATAAGCACAACAGAAGAATGTTGATGCAACATGTGATCAGTCTGTCGGCATTTGGCAAATGTCCTTATCCAGAGCAACTTACATTTAGCGCATTTATACAACTGAGCAGTTGAGGGTTAAGGGCCTTGCTCAAAGGCCCAGCAGTGGCAGCAAGGCAGTGCAGGGATTTGAACTCACAACCTTCCAATCAGTAGCACAATGTCTGAGCCACTGAGCTACCACTACCCCAGCAAGAGCACTCCAGGATACGAGGGCTCACTGAACGCTTTGATAAGTATGAAAATGCTCATGACAAATACAAGCTATGGCCGTCACACTCATCTGGGGGATCATTTATCAACCCTGTGTACGAATAGTTGTGTGCATACATTTCTACACATAGAATGTGATTTATCAAGTTATTCTTGTGCATGATGTGTGACGTGTTCTAATTAGTTCTGACAAAAAAAGTTTGTCTTTTGTTAGGAAAAATCTCATTAGCTAACTGTGTTGAGTGATATACTGTATATTTACCTTCTCCAAGCAGCAAATAGTAGTTAATGTTGTAGATTTAACAAGCTAATATGTCTGTATGCTAACTGAACTGACTAGTAAATACAGCATAACTCATTTAAAAGTAAGTAAATGCTACTTTGTTTACTGTTGATGCTGGGAGCAGCCATGTTGATTTGACGTCACAAGTAGGAATTCCGCATAGTGGGGTGTTTTCCTGTTTTTTCCTAGTAAGAGGTCGGCGTTTTAGCCAAATGCAGCATTAGACCTACTGACCATGAGTATGCAGAAACCCCTAGTGGTAGATAAGTAATGCTGACATGATTGACAATAAGTGGGATGGGAGCTCCTAAAAATCAGCTTAGCCACCATTACACAGTTTCATCTGTGTCACCTGACTGTTCTGTTCACATCAAGGTGCAGACAGGTGACACAAATGAAATGTAAAGTAAAATCGTATAAAAGGCACATCTAAAGAATGATTGGGATGATGCAGATGGTGGCTTATCTTGCTTTGCTTGAATATTTGGCATGTGCAGCTTTGCGCAGAGAGAAACATGTTTTTAAGGACTTCTTTACTGAGAATGATCAGTCAATTTAATTTGTCTAGTGCAATTTTATTTGGTCTCTGAGGGCAACTTGCCCCACTTTTGGAGAGGCAACAAAACGTATGCATTCATTACAATTCCAAATACAGCAGCAGAAACAACAACAATAATAGTGGGTTTTCATGCCATCTTAGGTTTTCCAAATGTAACTAGGGCAATAGACTACACATTCATAGCCATAGAATCACCCAGATTTAAGGAATTCACAAATGTGAACAGAAAAGGCTCAATTACTGTACACGTAACTTGTGACACAGTTGAGCTTCACCAAGTGGCCAGGCAGAACACATGATTCTTTCACTGTGCAGATCAGTACAGTGGGACTTCAGCATGGTGATATTAGAGATTACTGATTTATTTTATTTATTATTTATTACATAGACAAACTCTTCATAAAGTGTGCCAAGCTGGCTCAGTTAGTAGAGCATGACACTCTTATTCTCAGGATTGTGGGTTTGAGACCTAGGTTGCGTGCCTTCCCCAGCTACTGGGGCGCACAGGCTAGTGCACTCTCAGTGATGGTCCTAAGCCCAGATAAATGGGGAGAGTTGTATCAGGAAGGGCATCCAGCATAAAACCTGTCCCAAATCAATATGCAGACAATGGAGGGTGATCTGCTTCAGCAACCCCTAACGAGAACATCTGAAAGAACAACAACAAACTATTTGTAAAATGTGCCACAAGAAAACACTTTTGTTTTGCTCTACATTGTTCAACAGTATCTTTACTTCTGTAGTTAATGTTCTTAGACATTTTAATATGCTTCATTTTGTCTGCAACAAGCAATACCACAAGCAGGTTAGTGGACCTTTTAAAGAGAAGCTGTTTACCATATATGGAGATTTGGGGTGTTTCTTTATGTAAATAACTGTGACTGTGCACGAGCAGAGCAATTTAGAATGTGTGGGATATATCATCCAATGCGTACAGCTGTGTGTGATCAGTGTCAATATTTTAGTCCATATTGCTGGCTCTAATTCACAGACTTTTTTGATCACTGGGAACCCTGATCTCAATCCAGTTAATCACATCTGCCAAATGCCATAAATGTAAATGTAAATGTAAATGTAAATCACCTGTAGGAGATTTTGGAGTGATATATTAGACAGTGTCTCCACCACTATCATTAAAACACAAAGGGAGGGACTATCGTTTGGAAGAATGATGTTCATCCCTCCAGTACAGTTCCACAGACGTGTAGAGTCTATGACAAGGCACACTGAAGCTGACTCATTTTGGCCAAACACCTTAATAACATACTTTATGTTGTTTTTCTTTTTCCTTTAATTTGTCTTCCGTCTTGTGTGCATAGATGTTTCCTATATGGAGATTGCTTTCCTTCATTTTCTTTCGATGCTTGATCTTTAATGAGAAAAGACTCTAGCTCACTTGATCAATATGTTCATGCCACCAGCATTCTACATTATCATCATAACAGAAATCCCTCTGTGTCTAATCTAATGGGTAAGCTAGTCATTTCTGTTATGCTCGGAGTAAAAGCATTGAAACAAAATGCATGGTGCCAAAAGCAAGAATTAAATTCAACATCCAAACAGAAAGCAAGCATAAACATAAGCAAGTATTCCAACCTATTTCTACCAGCAGCACAAATATATAATCATATCGAAACCATTCTGAAGTTTCTCAAATCCAACCATATTTCAGTCTAAGATATAACAGCATGGGAAACAATGACACCAGTTTTTCATTCAGCATTTTATAAATACATATATTTTGCTTTACATTTGCCACTACACATCTGTCCCCGAATTCTGAAAGCCATTTTATCAAACCCCATGTGCGTGACAAACCTCTTCATGTTGTTAGGCTTAACAAGTAGATGACAGGTCTGGAAAAGAGGTTTGATAAAGTAAACTGTACAGTGAAATACACACAGAGGCTGTTTCACATCCATCATTTCTTTTTCAATGGCAAGACAAAGATGTGGCCTGTTCTGATCCCATTTGTCAGAAATTTTCAAGTGTCATACTAGACTGAATCACTGCCTATGTAGCTACAGCTCCTGCACCACTGCTCAAATAAGATTTTAAACATTGGTCAACTTGCCTGGATTACAAAAAAAAAAAAAACTGTTGTTGACTATTTCCCTATAAAAGCAAGTGTTTTATTGTTTTTATGCCACAGCAATTTGCCAACAATTACAATATTTTATTAACTGAAAATAACATTGCATACTTTTTTATCAATTTATAGTTACATTTAATGTTAGTAATGTTACTGTTACCATTACCGTTCCCTCACCTAGCATTGTTTTAAGTTAATAAGACAAAAAAAAGCAGTTTGGCATATTACTGAGAAATCGCAGTGCCCTCCATCCTGAAAATGTAAAACTTTAAAAAAGTTACAACTGTACCTTTGACTGTTACAAAGCAGTGAAAGCACAAAAAACTTCACAATATCAATGATTAGACCCATTTTTAACCCATTTACATGGACCGTCCACCATACAGGTCCCTGTATAAGACACTACTATAGTAAGGAACATATTCAAATGAGCATATTAATATAAACCTTGAAACTGACACTAATGTCAGAGCTGCTGTTAGAGGAACTTACTCAACACTTTCCAATGGTAATCCGATGGTTAAATGTGCTAATGAGACTAAGCATACCCACTCAAGACAGCCCTTTTGTGTTTTGAACACTTGTGTGTTTTGATCTCTCCTAAGAGTAGTTTGAATAAAATCAAAATGGCTTATTATACAAAAATTCAGATTTCCTCCTTTTGCACAAGTTGTATCAACTCACATTAAGTAGCTCTAAATTGTGCTGAGCTTTGAGTAGTAAACAGTGGAACTATTTGTGATTTTCTTTAAATTAGTCTAAAGAACCCAGATACAAAATAGGGACAACAGAAGGCTGTTGTATTATGTCAGCAAAAGCTAAATGTGCTCTAAATGTCTGTGGCAGAATTGGTTAAGCATGCTTATTAACTGTTGCTGCCATCATTAGTGAAAGGAATAATAGCACCTCCATGGTGTTTTAATGACAGACTAAAATTCTGACAATATGGTTACACTAACAATTCACCTGAAAGGTTAAACACAGACAAGATGAGAAATCATAGCTTTATAATAGGCACAGAGATGGGAAACCAGCCCCAAAGAGGATGTCAGTACTTGATCCTCCACCAGACCTTTACAAATACGACTCATTTGCATTTCATTCATCTGCACATATATCAGGCCAAAAGAAAAAGTGTCTTAAAAAGCTTTAATGCATAGTCTCATTAATCAACCTCAACTCTATACAATATGCTGGCCGGTATCCCATAGGAAATTAATTCTACTTCTCTCAAATGCACCTATGTATAAGCATACGCTTTAAACTTTTGTGCTCCTTTCATCTCACTGTTTATTCAGCTCTTTAACTGTGGTGTTTAATCATCCTCAGACTTGTAGGCCATGATTTATTATTCAATGTGCAACCTAATATTTAGCCTCAAAGCTTATTAGGGCAAAGCTTCTTGGACTAATATCTCTGCAGAGTTTGAAAATATGTGCATGGTGTTATGATTAATACAGGATGTCTTGACATGTATAACAGCAACACTGCACATGCTAAGCTCATTAGCTGTAATCAGCATTACAATCTGTGATTATGATTGCATGCTTGCAAAAAAATAAATAAATCAAAATAAAATAAAAACAAAATAAAATTTGCACTAGTGGTTTAAGCTTTAGTCAGGGTGTGTGTGTGTTCACTACTATGTGTGCGCACTCGGATGGGTTAAATGCGGAGCACAAATTCCGAGTATGGGTAAAAGTTTGCCTAAAACAGAAGCAAGTCTCAGGTAAGCAGGATTCTGGGCCATTTTCCGTGTGTGATTTCGGTTCGAGAGAGGAGCAGCACCACAGTCTAAAGCTGAAATGTATGCTTTGGGCTGTAAGCACTCAAAAACAATGGAATGCAATCTGAGTCCAGTGTTAAACACATACATATGACAGTATTAATTAATTAATAATATAATCCACAAAAAAGTCCACTTTTTTTCAAAACTCAGAGGACATCAGAGGAGATATTAATCACAGACACTGCTTATATCAAGGACCGATTTCTTTCATGAATAAAGTGATGAAATAACTTAAAGTGAGCTGTAACTATAGCAGATGAGTGCTCGGTAAGCTTATCTTTTAGATCCTCAGCATGTTTTATTTACAGGGGAGTGTTCTGAATGAACAAAAACATCTGCATTTTATTATTCATTTAAGAACTCGAAATAGTGAGTTAAAAAGCATTAAAAGCATGATAAAATAGCCTCAACATCCCACTCACACATCATGATTTCATGACCTCAGTTTAGTATCTCATGGTTACATTAAGTGTGTACAACTGTCAGAGCACATATATAAGTAACAAAATGCTAAATATTTGGATTGGATCAAGTGCTATTTTGTTATAAGCTTCCTAGTAATGAGGGTGCAAGCCATTTTTCAATGTGGCGATTCATGCATATTGACAATAAAATAGTCTCCTATTAGATGTTTAATTAAAACCTTGCCATCTTCTTATTTATATCATCATATTAGTCTTTTTTTTTTTAGTTTTTAAAATGGTCTCTTGCTTTTATGCTACATTGGATTACATTTGACACGAAAGAAAAAACAAACAAACAAAAAACACTATTTCCTTCTTCAGTCCAAAAAACTGCCTCAGACACTTCTATTCAAGAAATATCTGGCAACCTTGGAGGCGTGAGTCACATGCAGATCATTTGCACGATATGAATGGCACACCCAGAAAATCACCTTAATCAGCTGCGTAACCCATCTCGGAATAAGAATAAATTCCATGTAAATATCAAAATAATATCCGAACTTAATTCTCCAATTCCACTGTCTACCTGTATGATCACACAACTGCAAGGAATGAGTCAACATATATGAAAAAATATATGACTATGTTCATACATGTGCTAAATTAGCTCACATTTGTTAAGATTCCTATAAATTATGAATATTTTTAGCTGAACCTAGCTTTAAAATATTATAAATTATGTTACATGCAAAAGGAAAGTCAAAATATATTTCAACATGTAAGCAGGGATGGATGGTATGAATGCCCTCTCTGTCTTTTAATGAGTGTGTCCTAGGTGTATGTGTAATATGCCAATGATAAGACCTTCTGCTACTCAACTATAATGTTTTCATTTAGCTGAGTAGCATTTATTGAGTTACTGATAGGTAATAATTATTTTTTTCGCTCTCCCGTTCAGAATTGTGACCAGTCATCATTGCGTATAACCTAATCAATAATCCCAGTCATTCTTATGGTGTCAGGTCATCCCAGTCTAGTGACTCCAGTTCCAAACATGGCTGCCCTGGGCTCCATTTCCCGCAACACACACACACACACACACACACACACACACACACACACACACTACCTCGCTCTCAGTTGCCGAACTTTTGATTGTGCACAACTGCGTGCAATTACACACACACACACGCATA